GCTTGCTGCTTTCTCTTCGATAAAATTACCTAACAACAGTTTGAAAATAAAACTAATAAATTAATAGTTTTTTTTTCTTTTTTTTTTTTTTTTTATGGGCGTGAGGAACGTGACAACATTGAAATTATTCGATACATTTAACAACCATGATATCATCGAGCAGAGCTAGTATATTCTATTTGAAACGTTTTATTTCATTTCTTTTTTCTTCTTCCTCGTTCAGGAAACGTGGCTAAGGATAATAGCGCTATTTACAAGCCACGACCCTCTCTCGTTTAGTTTTCTCTCCATTCCCCCATTGTAATATCACGCGTGTAAGTTTCTCCATATCGGCGGAGTCCAAGCTCCGTTTGAATTCTTCTGAAAGTCGTCGTAAAGTTGGCACGCCACCACGGTGCGCAATGCTAGCCAACCAACCAGCCAGCCAGCCAGCCAATTCACTCGCATAATGCACCATACTCGGTGTGCTGTTCGCTTGTCCTTTCGTCCTTTTCAACGACGTATTCCGAGCGCGCTCTGAGCTCGAGTCACCTTTCCCCTTTCGTTAACATCGTTTCGCCGCTCCTAAAACGATCCATCTCGCTAAAAGCTGTGTGAACTTTACGTACCAACCTAACACAGACTATGGAATAACGGCCCATGTTTCTCTTCTCAGAGACGATCCTCATGTATTATTATTTGTGTCGTTGCGTTTTATATGATTGTACCGTTCTTCGTATTCTTATGTCTCGATCAAACAAAAAAAAAGAAAAATTAGATAAAAGAAATGAAACTGCGTTCCGGGATACCGGATCAAGAAAATCAAGAAATAGACATGGAGAAGAGTATAATATCAAGATATACTAGATACGTAATACAAAAAAGAAAAAGAAAACTAGTCGGTTTGGATGATAAATGTAAAAAGTAGAAACTACTAAACTTGAGTAAAGGCCCGTTATTTATTCTCAAGGAGTAATCTTCTCGCTTTCGTTGAAACGTGCCCGTCTCTTGCTCGGCATAGTTTTATTTTGCTAAAGACAAAACAAAGATAGATAGATAGATAGATATACATACATACATATGTGTATGTATATGTGTTACTTATGCAACATCCTGTAAGATGTAAAGGAATAATCATGGTAAAGTAATATAATTGAGAAAGAGGAATAGTAAAGACGACTACTATGACTACGCACCGAGGACGACAAGTGGAGAACAGGGGTCTAACTCGATCGTAGTTTGATCAGCCAGCCAGCCAGCCGGTTAGCCTCCTTACCCTTTTATTCGATTCTCGATCCATCGTCTTACTCGTCTTAGTCGTCGTTGGTATGGCGAAACACATATCGACGTCTCTCCTATATGGTTGGGATCTTATGGGAAATAGAAAGTAGCTACGCAGCAGCTCACATTGAAACACGGTGCAACCGATGGCAGTGGCAGCAGCTACGGCAGGTATACGTTTAGCCTACGTGAAATTTACGAGCGTACTGTCTCGTAATTACCATTGTGGAAACTCGCTAGAGAAAGACGAACGCAGCAGACGCTGGCGCGTTCACCAACACACACACACACACACACACACACACACACACTTACATATACATATACATATACACTTAGAAAGAAACAGAATCAGAGTGAGATAGAAATATGCGCCGCGTGAATCGTCTTAAGGCCAACTTCTCGTAAGTGGCGTGTAATTGCAACGGCGCGCGGGTTTACTCGGGCATCCGTTTACCCACTTTGATCGCAAAAGCAGAATTGCTAATGTTAGATAGATAGAGAGAGAGAGAGAGAGAGAACGGTTCGCATCGGATTTGCCGCGCTTATTAACCATAGAAACGGGCAAGCGCAAGGTTTCTGCCGCCGTATAAACTCGTCGCTTAGAGAAGACCGATCGGTATCTACCGACTCGAATTAACGATCGTTGCCTCCGTAATTTCGAAACCACCTGAGAGAAGAGAGAGAAAGAGAGAGAGAGAGAGAGAGAGTACCGCCTACAGATAATTGGGGGAAGAAATAGACGATAGAGTATTCGCTGTTTTACTCGAAACGTCCGTGAAAATTGCTCCACGTATTTCGATATTCGTCACGGTTACGGAACACCGTTAGACCTTTATACCGATTCCTTCTTACCAATCTTTATTCCCCGTGAGCTAAGTTCTATATTCAGCATGTTCGTATAATATACTTTTTAGATTCTCTCTCTCTCTCTCTCTCTCTCTCTCTCTCTTGTGTTCTCTTTCAATTTAGGTATTTTCGTGAGACGATCGGACGAAGATCTTTCGGAGAAGACAAAAAGTTTGACGTCTCGAACGAGTTTCTGTCGTCGGTTGTCTCGGTTGACGGTGGTGATGGTGGTGGTGGTGGAGGTTGGTATAACAGCCAACTATCTCGATAGCCTCTTTCGATGGAATGCACATCCTCCTTCGTTTTAAACATCGTCGACGAATAGACGGACGAATGCAAAATTCCATGAGTATATCGTAAGTTGGATGACGAGCAGTGGAGGGCGTAATAAATCGAGGAAACGTCAAGTGTGGAAGCAGCCTGGGGCCCTCGGGTAGAAAAAGGGCTCAATCTTTTGCTATACGAACGTTCTTTCTTCCTCGTGGGACCGATGACACGGGCACGGTCTCAACCAGCCAAGATTTTCGGCTACTCGGTCACGAGTTGCAAGACTTTGCTTTTGCGACGACGACGACGGCCTTGCTTCGCGAGATCCTTCGCAAAAAGTGTAGTCTCCCTCTGCCCCTTTTCCCCTGTTCTTTTCTGTCCGACCGTTCTGTTCGTCCTGCACGGTCGTCCCCCCTTTTACCATCCCACAACCAACGTTCCTTCGTAGATTCGTAGCGGCGTATAGGGTCAAGGAGACTTTAAAAAGAGAGCCTGCGTTATTTCACAGAGACAAGGAAAGTTCCCAATGGTACATAGCTCGTTGTAGTTGAATTTGTTCAGTGGTAGGAGGAGTCAAAGACGGGGGTAAAAGAGGTTGATATGCGGCGGCAGGTACGACCAGGCAGGTTCTCAGGAATTCACGACTCATGCGGCAACCGGGTGTTCGAGTGAAACGTATAATGGCATTTAACGAAGAAGAATCGAGAGAGGTAGCTAACAACGAATCCATCCGAGCTCTCTAACTCAGCTCGAAATTGCTGGTTCAGGCTAATGTCGAAATTAGAGACGTCGAACGTCTTAGGGTATTGTTCCAACACCCTACCACAATCGTTCCCTTGAATAAGACGGCGCGTGGGAAAACCTCCTCCTTCTTTCATTATCATCTTTCTACTGTGTCCTGGCGAGAGATGACCGTAGACGTTCTGTGATCTACCTTTGGATAGGTCGCAATTTGAAATTCTTAGCACGAACTAGACGATGCCTACGTAACTGCTGGTAAAACGCGCGTTAAAGATAACTCACGAAGAGAAACTTGAAAAAAAAATGTGTGGGAGAGAGGTGAGGTGAGGTGAGGTGAGGTGAGGAGGAGGAGAAGAAGAAGGAGTGGAGAAGAGAAGGGAGGAAAGAATGGTAGTAGAAGTGGGCTTGGGATAGTTCCATCTCCTCCTCGTCTCTGAAAACTGGTCTGGCTAACTCACGGACCAGAGAGGGAACAGAGAAGAGGTCTCTCGGAGGAGCTGCATTCCCCGGTAATTAGTCTCACCCATAAATTACTGGCTATTCCGTGTTTGTGTTGGTCGCGCGCGAGTAGTCTTTGCCAAGACAATTCGGTTGAGCATCCCCCCGGTTCTGTTTTCTCTCTCTCTATCTCTCTCTCTCTTTCTCTCGTCATCCCTTTTCCTCAGACTTCTCAGTCTGAAACTTTTCTCTTTTACAATCTCTCGCGAAATCGAGAAAGATGTATCGTGGTGAAGAAAGGTAAGAAAAGGAAAGGGAGAATGATCCCCCCAGGTACGGTGATGATCTCTCTTGGGGCGCCGAAGAAAGGAACCCGCTGCTAAATGAGCTGTAATGTGGCCCCCCTGCTGAATCTTCCCTAACCTTTTCTGACCACCATGAACACGTATCCACGAGAACACACGTATCTTTCTAACTATATTATCGTTTCTTTTTACAACTATAATATAACATATATACTAGTCTTATATTATTACAGTTGTCATTTTGATACATAGTACTAGAAAGATGACACTTGAGAAATAGTGGAAGGGTGGTAAAACTGAGTTAGGAACATCCCTGGTCCTATCATTTCTCTAATGGGTAACTAGATTTTGGTTTCTATCGCAGAATCTTTAGGTTTATTCGAGGAAAAGGGACATTGGTCGAAAAGGGGGGAAGATAGAGGGGAAGAAGAGTTGATGCGGTTGCTGGTCGGCGCCGCCGTGCGGCGCTCACCTGCCTCTCTCTTCGTAGCTCGCAACAGTCTCGCACGGAGAGCGATCGTGGCCTCCTCTCTCTCTCTCTCTCTCTCTCTCTTTCTCTTTTTTCATCTATCTATCTCTATCTCTGTCTGTCTCTCTCTCTCTTATTCTCCCACTCTTTCTTTTCCATCTTTTTCCCTCTCTCCTCACGTGAAGCGGCAAATGCGTCGTCTTTTTCCACCTCCTCGGACGGACACGTACGATGCACGTGCCGTCGTCATTGTTGTTGTTGTTATTGTTGCCCTTTTCCTTTTGTAATATTATTTCAAGAAAGGTGCGTGATATCTTTTCATTTCTTCTTCTCCTTTCTTATCAATCGGATTAGATTAGAAAAATAAACAATTTTATTATGAACAGTAGTTTTTTGTTGCTTTTTATTTCGCGGTGCTGTTGTTGTTGAGTTTTAGTCGTGACGATCGATGGTGGACGACGTGGTTATGGTGGCGGCTACGACGGCGGTTCTTTTCTGGGGAAGAAGACTAAGAACAAGAACAAGAAGAAGAAGAAGAAGAAGAAGAACGAAAGGAGTAAGTGGAGATGGAGGTGGTGGTGGTGATGGTGGTGGTGGTGGTGGTGGTGGTGGTGGTGGTGAAGTAGGAGGAAGAAGAAGAAGAAGAAGAAGAAGAAGAAGCAGAAGAAGAAGTTGGTGGGGGCAACTCTTCTCTACTGCCCAGAACTTGGTTGGGTGGGGGTAAAGCAACACTCAAAGATCGTGGTGACGTAGTTCTGGCAGGAACGCGACGCGTTTTTGTCCCCGCCGGAAGAAGAAAAGACCGTTTTATTACGATCCGTTTTACTACGACTGCCTGCTTGCCTGCCTGCCTGCCTGCCTGCCTGCCTGACTGCCCTTCCTCGCGTTCTTCGCGGTGGCCGCCGGTGTCTTTGGGTGAGGAAGGGAGAGAGAGGGAGAGAAGAGGAACGAGTCCGTCCTCGACTAACAAGGGTGGGGATACAAGAAGAGAGAGAGAGAGAGAGAGAGGGGCTAGTGACTTTGACGAGACCGGAAGTCAAAGTTCTTCCGGAGCGTTCTCCTCCGAATCGCGAGAATCGAATCCCTCTCGCGATACCGGAAGATGCTTCGTCGTCGTCGTTGTCTACCGAACGGGGACAGATAAACCGAAAGAGAGGGGATTCTCTTCTCGTCATGAAGGTTTCGTCCTTATCCGTTTCTCTCGACTTGGTCTTTCCGTCCTTTCTACTTCTTTTCGCACGCGAACTCAGAGAAAAGAACGTCATCGTACTAACGTCAATCATCATCATCATCATCATCATCATCATCATCATTATCATCGAGTTTCGGTCTAATTTTGTTTCACCTCCCATGGGAGGAAGGAATCATAAAATAATCATTAACGTATCAAGAAAAGTAGAGTGATTTGATATTATCTCGCGTTAGATCGGTAAGAGGACTGTAGTAAGGTGAAAGGTGGTCGAATTTTCTTTCGTAAGGGGAGTTTTTGGTGCACCAAGGAAGATTTTGAACTTAAGAAAAATTATAAAGGAAGGAAGGAGTTTGTAAAAGAGGGGCAGAGGGGACGGAGATGCGCCCCGTTCTCCTTGCTATCTACCTCCTCCTCGTCACCCCGATTACCGGATCGTTTTGGTAAGTTTTCTCTTAGAATTTATCTTTCCAATCGTCCTACCATAAATAAGTTTCTTAACGTTTGTTGGATCTGTTTCGTGTTAGAGACAAAATCTTTTTTCTCATTTCGGGAATGTGGCATTTGAAATTCTGAAAAAGTGTGCGAGAGACTGTTTTTTTTTTTTTTGATAATAAACGCCACAGTAGTAGTAGTAGTAGTTATCACGTTTCATTGTCAAACCGTTATCCGAAGAAAAGCCGTTCTCGTTGACGTTCCGTTGACGTTTGAGAAAAAAAGAGAGAGAGAAAGAGAGAGATAAAGAAAAGTAGTCAGCACCAGTTAAAAGAAGAAGATGAGGTGTTTAACACAAAAAAAGAAAAAAAAGAAAAGGGACTCTGTCCTTAGCGCCGCGACACGTGACGACCATAAAAAAAACTTATGGTTCAAACAAACAACGCTAAACGTACACACGCGTCACTCTGCGTTAATACAACAACTTTTGGTATCTGCTGCTTGCTTGGTAGCGTTAGAAAAGTACACACGCACGTTAAGTTAAAAAAAAAAAAAAAAAAAAAAAAAAGGACAAAATATCTAGGGAAAATTCTTTTTTTACTCTTTTTTTTTTTTTTTAAGTGCTACTAACCTTGACGAGTTTAACGACAGAAGTAGAAGA